CCACAATTATATAGCATACAATTATATATATAATACATAATTGATGTGGTGGTGGTTAGATGCCACAATTATATAGCATACAATTATATATAGTTATATATATAATACATAATTGATGTGGTGGTGGTTAGGTGCCACAATTATATAGCATACAATTATATGCTCTATAATTGATACAGTGGCTGTAGCCACCATATCAATTCATCTTGTCGGTTGCATTCCTCTTGTCACATACCCTCCACTTTCACCAAGCATGATGTCCTTCTCCAGGACTGGTCCCTTCTGGTAACATGTCTGAAGTATGAGAGATGACTCCTCATTATCCCAGATTCTAAGGAGCATTCTGGCTGAATTTAATCCAATACAGATTTTTTTGTTCTTCTGATACTCCGTGGTACTTTTAGTATTCTTCTCAAACACCATAATTCAAATACATCAGTTCTTTCACAGTCTTCCATGTTCATTGTCTAACTTCACTCCTCTATGGTTTTCCTTATTCATTGTTAAACTTGTACATGCATATGAAGCTATTAAAAATACTGTGGCTTGGGTCTGGCACACCTTAGTCCTCAAACTGACATCTTTGTTCTTGATAACTTTAAACAATGCTTGTGCAGCAGAATTTGCCTAATGAGATACATCCATTGATTTCTTGACTGCTGCTTCCATGAGTGTTGATTGTGGATCCAAGTAAAATGAAGTCTTTGACAACTTCACTCTTTTTTCCATTTCTCATGATGTCATTTACTGGCCTAGTTGTGAGGACTTTTGTTTTCTTTACACTGAGATGTAATCCATACAGATTACATGTCTGATCTTCATCGGTAAGTATTTTCAATCCTTTCAGCAAGCAAGGTTGCATCATCCGCATATCACAGGTTGTTAATGAATCTTCCTCCATGTTCTTTTTTATATAATCTAACATCTCTGATTATTTGCTTATTATACAGATTCCATAAGTATGGTGAAAGGACAGAACCCTGGAGCACACCTTTATTGAGTTCAAACCATTCAGTATCCTCTTGTTCTGTCCAAACAATTGCCTCTTGGTCTATGTACAGGTTCCTCATGAACACAATTAACTGTTCTGGAACACCCAATCTTAGCAACATTATCCATATTTTATCATGAACTATACAATCAAACACCTTTGCATAGTCAATAAAGCACAGGTAAATATCTTTCTGGTATTCTCTGCAATAATATCCCTAGTTCCACATTCTCTTCTGTATCCAGCTTGAACTTCTCTGCAAATGAACTGTTACAGCCATTTTAGTTATCTTCAACAAAAGTTTACTTGCATGTGATATTAATAACATTGTTTAGTGATTTCTAAATCCTGGTTGAATTCCCATGGGACTTTAAGTTCCTGTAAATTGTGAGCTCTACTCATATCAAGATTAATCTGAGCAAGTGACCAGACATGTTCTTCTCAACAACAGTCTGGTAGACCATCTTGTGTCCTTGTGTGTTTAGTTTGTGATTATGGGTAAATTATTTAACCTCTCTGTGATTTAGTTTCTCAATCTACAAAGTACGAATAATACCCAAACCAAGCCCACCGCCACTGAGTTGATTTCAACTCATAACCACCATGTCCTGGGTTTCTGAGGTTTTAAATCTTTATGGGAGCAGTTGGTGGGGTTTAACTGCAAACCTTGTAGCTAGCAGCGTAGTTCTTATCCTGCAGGCAGCTCTACAAGGGCTCCTGAAGGATAATAACAGTCCCACTAATAGAGTGGCTGTCGTTATGCTGCTCAGTGCCATGGAGTTGGTTCTTGACTCAGAGTGACCCTGTCTAGGGTTTCTGAGGAGTGACTGATGAAACTGACCTTTTGGTCCAGTGCATTACCCTGCAGTGCCATACCAGTACTTCAATAGAGTGGCTTTTCATTACTGTTGTTAAGTGATGTTGAGTACAACAAAATGTTTCTTAGAAACCAGGATGACTAGACTTTGTCTCTCGTACTTCGGGTATATTATCAAGCGAGATTGGTCCCTGGCGAAGGACACCGTGCTTGGTAAAGTAAAGGGTCAGAGAAAAAGAGGAAGAACCCCAATGAGATGGATTGGCACAGTGGCAGCAGACATGGGTGCAAGTGTAGCAACAATCGTAAGGCTGGTGCAGGACCAGGCAGTGTTTCACTCCATTGTGTGATATAAGGCCACAACTAGTAAGTGCTGATTCGATGGCACCTAACAACACAAAATCATTAGAACAGTGTCTAGGCTGGGACTAGCAATCATTCAGCGTAACTTTTATTATTATTTTGTTGTTATTGTTTTATGATGCCATTTTCGATCCCTCTGACTGCTTAACTCCTGTAATGCATGGATAAATGAGATAATATATGTATGGGTTTCAGTCAATGTGTGCCATTCTTGGGACCTCCTCATCACTGCCTACTTAATCACAGCCTGAAAACCAATCCAACTTCAACTTAGAGGCAATGAATGGTATACTCTCTGGGACTGGATGCTTCTATATGTAAATCTTTCCCATGTGGGCAGATCAGCCTGACATTGGTGATTCACTGCTCTGCTCAGCCTGGCTCTTTGCTTTGTGGTTCTGAAATGACCTACTTCAAACTACTAAACATGACTGTGATTTTTGGACCATCTGTCACCACAAGTACATTCCCATGTGCTTTTGAAGAACATGTACTACATCCTAACTCCTTCTTCCCTCAAGAGTTTTGCAAAGTCAAACTCTTTGTCTGAGGACAACCACATGAGAATATGTGAAAGGACTATGTCAACAACCCAACACCACTATTGGAAAGCTATCTGGAATCTCATGTTAAACTGAGAATGGGCCAATATCACCCTCAGCCTGTGGCAACTTGATACATACACATCACAATGGAGAGGTTTAGAGCCCTAGGCATTTCATTAAGGGCTTTCAGAAATGTCTAAACTACTAAGGATTAAAAGCCCAAACAAATATCTGGCTTCTTTTCATGTTCCTTGCCAAAAGAAGTTGTAAGAATATTTACTCAAAATCCTCTAGCAAATATCTTGGAAAAGAAAATTGGGGCGATCCTAACCAATACACATATCAATGGTTTCTTTGACATCTGCATTACCTGGATCCAGACTGACTCATTGGTGGGACCAGCGGCTATCAGTTTCTCCAGTTCTCCTTTCCTGTCATACTGGAAGACAGTCCCAGCCAGTTTGTAGTTCCCATTCCACTGGATAATAAATCCTCCATTCAGGTAATACTTTTCTGGGTCTTCACTCCTGATGGCCAGGAAGTTCCCAGCTCCCTTAACTTCCATTATCCGTATGTCCCTTGCTCCCTTTGGAATGAGTGCAATGTCAACATAACCTGAGTAGAGAAGATATATAAATGATAAAGGCATGCTAGCTTCATGATCACGATCACCTTATGATCCATTATTCATCCTCTTCCCAACATTACCATTATTTGGGTCCCTGATCCTCTTCTTGGAAAGCCACTAGCTTATGAAAAGGTTTCCATACTAAAAGAAACATTATTTGATGGTTACCATGAGTCGAGGAGAAGGGAGAGTAATTCACTGACTAGAGGGTAGACACATGTTAGCTTGGGTGACAGGAAGGGCAATATACATGGATGGGGAGGGCAATATACAATAAAAGGGAGGGTGACAGATGAACAATGAAGATGGGGGAAGGCTTAGGTAGGTATGCATGGGCTAAATGGGATATAAGTAAATAGATACTTATAAACAACCTTGGAACAACAGTGTTCTGTGAGAAGATACCTAGATTGAGACATAGGTTGAATGGGTAAACAAGGGGAAAAAATGTTTATGTGCTTGACTGTCTTGTGGATATTGGTTTCTCCTGCCTACTATTTTAAAACAGACACTTATGTGTGATAGAAATGAATACTGGAAATTATTATGACAGCAACTTTCAAGCCTGTCTTCAGCCTACAACTGATTGAATTTGCTACAAGGGGAGTTAGAATTTGCCCAAGGAAATAGAATTCTTCTTAATCCTTTGTAGAGTATGGGGTCTTAGGTGGAATCCTGAGCCCCATTCAGAATCTTCTGAGTTAGGACATTCCCACTTGAAAATAGATGCAGAACTTCTGGGAGAACAGAAGATTCTTATTGAAAGAAAGACTTGCAGAAAAAAATCAGATTGTTTGAACATCAAGCAAGCTGTTTGCTTTGGAAGCATCAAGGCAAGAACAGGTAGTCCATCAGGGAACACACCCTTCTACGGCTGAAAACTCAAAGTGAATCCATGAGAGTACAGATGCTCTCTGGAACCACCTGGATCTGCTTGTGAGTGGCAGTGGGGGAAATGCAGCAGTGAAGACAGGGACTGAGTTTGGTCAATTGAGCTTGAGATGAAAGATAGAACAGAAAGTGCTGACTGGTCTAAAGTTTAGGAAGATGTGTGAACTCCTGAGCCCATGGGCACTGATCTCGCCCCTGGGGGCTAGGGCTGAGAGTTAAACAGCCAGCTGGTCTGAAGTGCAGGGTGGTGTGCATTAACTCCCAAATTTGCAGCTACTACCCATTTAGTCTAGCTTGAATGGCTAGTTGACTAGAACTTGAACCAAGCAAGATAAAGATATTTTATACTGAGAACAAGTGCAAATTGCTACAATTTGATGAACTAGACTCAAAATTCCAACTGGAATGGAAGGAACACCATATCAAGGAACAACTTTGCTTTCTCAATTGGTTGATAGGATGATAAATGTAAACATTGACTATCAAAAATGAAGGCTACAAAAGCAGTAAGTGTCTGGTTAATGAGTTTTTCATGAGTGTGTTTAATAATGAGGAGAGTAAGATAGAATCCCAACTGAATAGCTTCCCTCTGTGCCAGATGGATCTGGTGAAAGGGAATGGGGGATGACAGTGATAGGATTCTATGACTCAATTGTAGACACTTTTTAGCAGAATTAATTGCAATGATCACAACTGTAATTGTAGAGGATGAGTAAATAACAGAAGGGAGTATGTAATCTTTCATTTCAAGAACAGAGGACCCCAAGACTATCAAGAAGGAAGAATAAGAATGGAATGTGAGATCTCTACCTAGAAAAGTGGTGGCTGTGTGCCTTTGTGCACGAGGCTGACTGGCAGAATATGCCCTTTGGACAGTTAAATGAATATATATAATTTTGTAAGTGTACATCAAATATTTTTGCCTTGTTTCATCTATGAAATATAAGAATTAAAGGGGGAGCCACATAGAGGAAGTGGAATAAATGTTGCAAGGAGGGGATTGTAATCATTTAGATGAAACAAGGTGCACGGTTAGTTATATGATTTTTAGCTAATGTAGAACTGATGATTTTGTCTGTAAACCTTCACCCAATTGACAGGGAACTGTTAAAGGTTCAAGCTAGATTCAGATGAGGATGTGGAATGAGGGATTTCATTGTTGACATCAGATGGATCTTAGCTGAAGGCAGAGAATACCACAAACATGTTGTGACAGTTAAGGTTTTATGTCAACTTGACTGGGTTAGAATTCCCATTGTCTTGGTAGTTGAGATGTGGTTATCACCATGGTAAGATCTAATATACTGTAGTTAACTCTATGATGATTGGATATGAGCTGCCAATCAATTGAAATGATGTTTCCTCAGGGATGTAACCTGTTTCTAATACAATATTCACTCAGTCAAAGCTTGCTTGCTTTCTTCTGGGTCTGTATCTTGCATCTGAGTCATCCTCCTACTTCTGGTTCTTTGGATGTGAGCCAGGGGCTCACTCTTGGTTTGCCTGACTTTCTGCCCACCAGATCTGCCTGCCAGTCTTGGTTCATCTGACTCAGACTTAGGACACTCACGCCTCTACAATTGTAAGGCATTTCTTTGATATATTATTGCTTTTAAGTGATGTCCAGTTGATTCCAATTTAGAATGACCCTGCATATATATATATATATATATATATATATATATATATATATATATATATACAGACAGAGACAGAGAGAGAGTGTGTAAATGAGTCTTGGTGTGGTGCTGCAGGGTAATACATTGGATAATATACAAGTTCAATTTGAATCACAAAATTGGCAGTTCAAACTCACTAGCTGCTCCTCAGAAATCCTATACAGGGGCGCTAGAGTCGGAACTGACTTGACACACTTAAAAACAAACAACACACAATAACATATATATATATATGTTCGTGTTGTTAAGTACCATGGAGTCGATTCCCACTCATAGTGACCCTGCACAGGGTTTCCGAGGCTGTAAATCTTTACAGGAGCAGAAAGCCTCATCTTTCTCCTGTGGAATGGTTTTGAACTGCCGACCTTGAGGTTAGCAGTCCAAGACGTAATCACTATGCTACCAGAGCTCCATATATATATACATTATTGTTAGGAGCTGTCAAGTTGGTTACCACTCACTGAGAACCTGTAAAAGATTTCTGAGGAGCAGCTGATGCATTTGAGCCACTGACCTTGCAATTCAAACTGACCTTACAGTCCAGTGCTTATCTTACAGTGTCACAGCAGGATTCTAAAGTAGCATTTGTTGTTGTTGTTGTTGTTGTTGTTGTTAAATGCCATTGAGAAGTCTCTGACTCAGTGACCCTGCATAGGGTTTCCAATACTTATCCTACCACACCACACATGGGATACTTCAAAGTATATAAGAGTCTGTCCAGAAGGGAGAGAGCTCAGATCCTGGGGCTTAGATGATTTGTTCAGATGTCATACTCAGGAAGCATTCTCAGACCCATTTTTAAAACAGGCAAGTGCCAGTGATCCAAATTGTGAGTCTAGTGATAGTTGCCACCATTCAGCTGTCAGTTTACCATACTGTAGTGGTTTGCATGTTGCTGTGATTCCAGAAGCTATGCCACTGATATTTTATATACCAACAGGGTCATCCATGGTAGACAGGTTTCAGATGAGCTTCTAGACTAAGACAGACTAGGAAGAAGGAGAAATAGACTACTTGTGAATATTTAGTCATTGAAATCCATGTGAATAGCAGTGGAACACCATTGGATAGCACCAGAATATTGAGTATTGAAAGATGATGAAGAGCACAAGGGTATGGCTAAGGAAGAGCTGCCTCCTCAAAGCAGAGGTGACCATGATGATGCAAATGGAGTACAACTTTTGGGATCTTCATTTTCTGATGGGGCACAACTCAAAATGAAGAGAAACAGCTGTAAACATCCATTAATAATTGGGACATGCATTTTATGAAGTATAAATCAAGCAAAATTGGAAGTTGTCAGAAATGTAAAGGAACAAATAAACATTGATATCCGAGGCATAATGAGCTGAAATAGACTGGCATTCATAATTTTGAATCAGACAACCATGTGATTTACTATCCTGGGAATGATGAATTGAAGAGAGATGGCATTACATTCATCATCAAAAAGAACATTTCAAGATCTATCTATCTGTGATAGTATCTTATCTATATGCCTACAAGGAATACCAATTAACACAACTATTATTCAAATTTAAGCACCAACTACAAAAGTCAGTGATAATTAAATTGAAAAAATACTACCAACTGGAATTAGAAAATATAAAGGGAAGAATACACTCAAGTTGAGAGACCTGAAGAAAAAAATTCAACCTCAACTTTAAATATGGAAAGATTTGATGGGCAAAATGCTGAATGATACAGAAATGCATCAAAAAAAGTTGAAAGGGATACACAAAGTCACTGTACCAAAAAGAAATGGTTGATGTTCAAGAGGTAATATCCAAGTTACACTGAAAGCATTGGCAAAGAACAAGGCTCTGGGAATTGATGGAATACAAATTGAAATCTTTCAACAAACTGATGTAGCACTAACGGAACTACGTCATCTCTTCTAAGACATTTTAAAGACAGTTATCTGTCCAATGGATTAGAAGAGATGCGTATATGTGCCCATTCCTAAGAGGGGTGACCCAACAGAATGCAGAAATCATCGGGCAATATCATTAATATTTTATAACTTGTTATTTTTGTTATGTGCTCTGGAATCAGTTCCGACTCATAGTAGCCTTGTATAGGGTTTCTGAGGAGTGCTGGTAAATTTGAACCTCTGACCTTGTGGTTCAAACTGACCTTTCAATCCAGTGCCTATCCTATAGTGCCACACAAGGCCTCCATGCTATGACTTAGGTTGCTGCATGTCTTCTGATAGCAGAACTCACACAGAAAATTAACTGGTATTATGGTTTCCATCTTATCATTTACTAGGAAACTAAGAAAGAACTAGATGGAAAGAACAAAAGAATGTGCTTTTTTTTTTTTTTTTTTATCGCTCAATAAAGAATTGGAGTCCTGGTGTGCTCTGGACCAAAATGTCAATTTGCACTGCAATGTTAGCAGTTCAAATCTACAGC